CCCTGTGAAATCTGATGAGCTACAACAGGTACAGGAGCTCACACCTATTTTAAAACATGAGAACATGGTTAAGTGTAGCAGAGGCTACTCCATGATCCCAAACAATTTGTTTCCCTTTCCTGGAGGAGTGGAAACACCTCTCCAGAGAGTGCTGCAAATTTATATCTGTAACGAGCATCTCCGGGGACTCATAGAAATGGATGTGCCGAGTCGTGGAGTGGGTGGGAAAGCTGGAGGCAAGTGTCAATCCTGGTTTGCACAGAGAAGCTCTATGCCCTGTGAGAAAAGACTGGGCAGGGGGGAGGGAAGGGTGGCTTTTTGATGGGGACCTGAAAAGCAGACAGGTTTGTGCAGGTGCATGGCCAACCCAGAGCTCAGCAGGGCACTGCTTACTGTAGTGGATACATCCTGGGTTATTTTAAAAAGAACATCAATAAGAAATATCATTAGCTTGAAATCAAGGTGGTTTTTTTTACTGGCATTTTGTTTCATAACCTTTTTCTGTTGTAGAGATGTAATTAGAGATGCCAGTCAACTTACCCTCTTAATATCTTTTAGTTCCCTTTTTTGCCTTGGCTGCTGTATTGAGCCTGCAGACCAGTAATCCTTCTGCCCTCTCTCTGCCACACAGTTCTTAATGATGCGTGCACATGGATTTTCATTCTCTAAATTATTTATAGAAATTTCAATTCAATTTAATAATTTATATTCTCATTAATCTATCTTATTACACCATATTTTGTAGCCATTAAATTTGATAACAAGGAACACATTCTTTTGGAGAGAGGTCCTGTGCAATATCTCATTCTGGGATAAGTGTTATAGACAGATGCTGCATCTCATATAATGAGCAATAAAGTCTGTGAAATCTCTGCAAATCCCATTTCAAAACTGGGGCTTGAAAAATCCTGGCCACAGTAACTTCAACTTTAAATTGACACTATGAATCCTGGTTTTATTTGTTTTTCCCCTCAACAATCATCTTCCTGCCTACCAGCTGATGCATGTGCTTGGTCAGCTGTGCTTGGAGAGGTCTCACCCTGCAGGTTTCATCATCAACAGTACTGTGAGTACCCCCAGCACTGCAGCAAATAGGAAAAGCAAGGAATCTACATCTTGTTAAATATTTAAGTGTCTTTTCTGCGATTATGTGAGTCTTTCTGTTTCTCATGTGAAGCTTGCTTTGCTTGAAAATTATTTTTCAAATATTTCCAGTGACATTGGCATCTTCTCTGTCCCGTCCACTGGCATAACCTCACCGCTGCATTGGTCCTGTTTTCTGGGATACACTGCTCACTCTCTTTCCAGTCATTTAAATTTCTTCCCTCTATAAGCGTGGTAGTTAAGTCTTTGTTTGACCTGTGCTTGTGTTGAGGATTCTGTGCTGGTTTTGATGGGATGGATTAAGGAGGAATTAAGCCTAGGAATCCCAATGGATTTGGGTGACATTTGAGCAGTTTAATAACAAGATGTCTTATGGGGAATTTTCAGCTGGCACACTGATAAGACTTTGCCAGCTGGAGTCCAAAGGCTGTGACTGATTTACTGGCAGTAAAGCCCATTGCACCTGCCTTCATCCTTCTTGGAGAGCATGAAAGAGAGAGCATGAGAGAAGCTGCTCCCTTCTGTCACTGGGAGTGGAAGGACCATGTGCTACCTTCATGATACTGATGCTCTCTGCTGGCTCTATGTTAGGCACTGTGTGTCTTCATGCATCTGACAAATTATATGACAGGTTAAAGATTATTCTGATCTGTTCTGCTAGTCTTCTGATAGCTGAGACGGGAGCGTATACCATCTGTGCTGTGTTATTCTAGCTAGTGTATCCAAACTTGTTTATCTGTCACCTTCACACCTTATGTTATTCTGTGATTCAAAACTGATTTACTGTTAACTGTTTACAGTGATTTGAACAAGATAGACTTGTCAAACAGACAGGAAAAAACATTTAATTACTAATTTCCCTTGGTCTCCTGGGGCTGGATGTACAGGATTCCCATTCAAGTGATTAAGGAGAAAAGCAAATGGCCCATGTAAGCAGACTTATTTCCTGGCACTTCCAGCAACTGTCCTTGCTGCAAGTTGACAGCGTTGGGTGTCCTAACTTCAGTGTTTCCTATCCCATTTTTTTTTCTCAGCACTAGAGATGGATGGAAGGAAGGAGCTGTGTTTGAGCATTAGAGATGCAAAAGGCTTTTATGCAGGGCATTGTCTGTTGCATTGCTGATGTTTGGATTCCTTGTACTTGTTTTACTGGTTTACTGAAACATTTTACCCTATAGGGGTAAATTCCTCCATAAAATCTTGTGAAAAATTTACGTAAACAGACTCTGTCTTAGTGGTCAGGTATTCCTTCCTTAGATACCTGGAAGGGCAGGCTGCTGGCAGGATGGGGAACAGTGTGTTCAGCCTGTGCAGGGAAGGCTGTTCATTGGTTTTGGAATGAATCACAAAGCCTAATTTAAAGAATTCACGCTTAGTAATGTGACAACTGTGATGATGGGGTATGCAGCAGAAACAGCTAAGGGACATGTTAAATCATACAGAGAAAAGCAGATCTTGGCTGGAGATAGGAGTGTTGGCTTTCACCCATTTTCATGAAATGAAAGCTGTGTTGACCTGTTATATTTGTTCAACACGTAGATTCATAGTTGGTGAATCAGTACAGTAGATTTAGAGTCAATGAGGAAATTCAGTTATATCTGAAGACCTCCAGAAGAGGAGGGGACAAGGCTAATGGGGATGAATGACATGGTAAGAACCTTTTTTTAAAAATGCTGTAGTTGAATTGATTTATGCAGTAAATTGCATTAACCAGCAGAAAGGGCATGGCACAGTCTTCCCTTTCAAAGAAGGTGGAGGAAACAGGCAAGGTGGGAACTGTGGACAAATAGGTCTTTCACCCAGTGTTGTGTCCAGTACTGATGTTTTCTCTTCTGTATGCTCTACCATTTGATTTATGGGGTTTTCCAGTCAGTTTCTGAGGCGTGTGAAGGGTTGGATGAGCTCTGGCCAAGAGCAATAATTTCTCTATTTCTCTGCATGACTGCCTGCCCGTCTGTTAGGGGTTCCATGTAAGAATATATTTCTCCAAAGTCAGAATTCAGCAGCAAAAAGCTGGTCTGGCTGGAGATGTGAGTTGGTCAGCTTATGGAAAGCAGAGCTGGGGAGAGGTTGAGTACCCCTTTTTCTTCTACCCTGGTAAAACTGCTGCTTCAGTGCTTGTTGTTTTTCTCATCTGCTCATTGTGGGTCAGTGATTCTGAATCAAAAAATTCTAATGCTGGGCCTGAATCTGAGGTTCATAATTCAGCTTTTTATCTTTATGCTGCTACTGGGATGCATTGTTGTCTTAACCAAGTCGCACAAATTCTGTGTGTCTTGACTGCCCAAGATGAGGAATTATATCTGTATGAACTTTTTAGGGATCTTTAAAGGAAATCCAGAATTACTATGTCTTGCATCTTTCACTTCATAATTTCAGTCTACGTGTCCTACCTCATCTGTAATCAGGTACAGATAGATTCACTTTGTATAAGTTCGATCCCACCCTGAGTTCAACTCGGGCTCTCTGGCACCATACTGGTTTGGAAACAACTTACCACAGGAAGCAGGCAGATCACAATGTGCTTGGGCACATTTTCTCTCTCTGAATACTCTGCAGCTATGCCTCCAGCAACTACAAAGGGGTGTTACCCAGATTTGGCTTTGCCATGCTCAGGTATAGCAGAGTGGAGTGTAAAACCTAATGTGGAATTGCAGAGTGCTATTGCATTACATAAGATTGCCCAAGTTTCCTGGTCAAATGTTCCTACAGGGGCCTCCATATACTTTCCAACCAAACCGCTGCTTTCTGTTGAGCTACAGCCCATAGGAAGAGTGGAGCATGCTGAGGCAGTGCATATGCACACAGATTGTGAGAAAAGCACATACAGGAATTTAAAGATCTTATGAAAATATTTGTCACCAGTACAAAATGATGCTTCTCAAATTAGATTATGATAGGGGGCTAAGAGCTGGGTTTTCTTTAAAAAAACCCCAAACTAGCTTGTTCCAAGTAGATTCAATGCAAAATTAAAGTGAAGCAGAAAAGAAATAAAACTCTTTTTAAATGTTATTATGTTTCAGATATTCTTTGATGCATCCCAGCCCTGAGAAATTAATCTTTTCTTGACAGTGGCTAACAAGAAAATCATGGTACTTCTTCTGAATAGATGTGGGGATAGTAGCTGAAAGCTACCTTTATTTTCTCCAGTCTTTGGTGGAAAAAAAAGTTACTTTTTTTTTCCTGGTTAAGTTTTTTATTTCTTGTTTCTGTCTTCATGTCTGTTTTGTGTTTTGCTATGCTTTTTTGGTGTAGCTTTGAAAATTTCAGTGTCTCAAGGAAGAAATGCTTGGTCAAATTTTGTCCTCAGTCACCTGGGGGGAAAAAAGTCAGAGAAATGTATTGACTTTCCTGATATAAAGCTGGATGTTTATTGAAGTAACCCAGCAGCAAACCAACAGAACTTTATCCTGTTTTGTTTGTTCATTTATAAATTGTCTGGTTATGAAGACACACAACTAAAACTCAGCTGGTTGGTTTCAATTGCTTCTAATTCAAGGCAGAGGATCCAGCACCTTCCAAAGTGGGGTAACCAAAGCAATGCTTCTCTTTTGGTAAAATGGTCAAAACTGTGGTGTAAAGTCTAAAAATGAGCTGCAGTGTTACATTCTGGCTATGCAAAATTATCTCTTCTGTTCATCGAAGTGGTCGGCTGCGCTGACACCTCTAAACAGATCCTTAAACCCAAGAACAGATGTTTTAGTGCGCTTTCCTTTGCTTTGTCAATATGACGCATCAACAGCAAGTTGCAGCCCGGCATTTACATCTAAAGTGCTGGGCTGCTCCGGGCTGGTGACTTGCTCTTTGACCTCATTCCTCCTTTGAACCTGCTGCCGCGGCGTGTGCTTGCCAGCCGCGTCCCTCAGCCCTGCGCTGCTCTGTCTTGTCATCCGCAGACAAGAAAAAGGCAGGCAAATTCCAGCCTTTCAAGAAGCTCTTCAGCAAGAGGAAGAAAAGAGAGCCTGCCTCAGACTGTGAGGAACCCAAGCTGAAGCCCAGCCACTCCTTCAGCAATATCTGCAACGGCACCCTCTCCTCCGATGAAGAGCCAAACAGTGGGCTGAGGTAAGCGCACATGCATCTGCTGCCAGCCTGTGCACACACACCGCTTGTTCTCCCTGCTTTTTATGGAATTAAATTTAAATTCTCCCTCTGCTAAATGGCAGCAATTTTTACTTGGCTTTTTACAAAGTGCATGCATCTCTCTCCCTCCTCTGAACGTGGCACCTGCTGCTTTAGACTCCAAAGTGGGTTCATATACTGGTTGCAAAAAAGAATTCCCAGGGTGAAGCAGAAATGAATTTGAATCCAGCTCTGTGATTTAACAGAATCCATGGAGAATCTTGAGCACATGTATTAATGGCATGCATGTTTTTAAAAACTGTGAAAAGAGAAACTTGAACTGGTATATTTTATTGCACACATTTCCCTGCAAGGTGTTATCTTTGGGTCAGAACAGACACATCCTTTTTCAGTCTATCCCATAGAGTTTTTGCATTGTAACTGGGGTCAACAAATAGGCTGCTTTTATTCTGATCTGAATGTAGAGCGGAAGGAAGGGAGCAGACAGAAGCACCTGGAAATCAGATCATATTCAAGTGTCAATAGAGGATTACAAAAGGACAGTGTGAGAATTTTCTGTATGACTAGTGGGAGAAAGAAACTGCACAGAGCTAACTAGTTAGCAATCTCTAACTGGGGACAGGGAAAAAAAAAGCCAAACCAAAAACCAAAAAAACAAAACCAACCAAACAAACCAACCCAAACCAAAACAAACAAAAAACCCCCTACCCCAACAGCAACAAAACCCCAAGGCCAGATGCACAAACTAATGGTGTCAGTAATACTTATTTCACTTTCCAGCTGCTAGTCTCAGAGAGGTTAGCTGACTCCTGGTCAAAGCCTGCTGCTTTGGAAAAAACGAAACTATTTGCACTGGGGAGTGTGAATATCTGAATGTAACAAAACAGCTGAGAGGACAAAAAAACATGCCAAAATTTGTAGCAGAAACATCACCCTGCACAGTTTTTCCAGTGGTGCAAAATAATAGCTGCGAAAATGTGATTTAAAAATTATTTATTTAGGGTTTTTTTAAGCTTTTGAGTTTTTTTGTGCCATTCTATGAAATTCCTTAAGTTCTAGGTTTCCTTTTGGTTTCTGCAGTGCAATCTCATACACCTCTTTTGCCCAACCCAGCCTTTCAGAAAATCAATACTGAGCATAGCCACAGTGCAGCTGGAGGTGTGGCTGACTGCTGTTGCATTGCATTACCTGAGTGCATGATGCCAAAAGTCTGTAGGAGGTTTCAGTGCCTTTTCCCTCAAGAGCAAACTAAAGGGCGTCATCTGGCTATCAGGGATTTCCCATTCAGTATAACCAAAAATGTGGTGCTGCGCCCAGAAACAAACAGCGATATGGGAACTTGTCCCATTCCCCAACAGTGACAGGAAGGTGTGGCCAACCCTGGTGAGACTGTTAAATGCTTACATTTTTAAACATATTAATTTTTCTAATTAATAAAGGCATTAAATGTAAGCTTCTGGTATAATAAGTCAGACTGCACGATTTAAATCACAGGGGATTAGCAAGAGTGAAGGGTCCCGCGCCTCACCTCAAGTGGAACACGTCTTTCTGCACCTATGACTCCTGAGAGGTTCTGTTTTAGCCTGCTAGAAATACCAAGTCAAACCTCTGTTTTTCCTCTCAGGCTTTATGGTGCAATGTGGGTGGGATTTGATTTAGTTTGCAGGTAGTGTTTGTCACGCTGCTCATCTTACAACAAGCATAGATATTCAGTGCAGTGCGTTAGATTGCTTTGGGGAGCTTAGTTTGGCCACCACATTGTTTTCAGCATGGCTTCCATCCATTATATTTTTTTGACCTTTACTGTAATTTCAAATGTTTGTGAATTGAATGCAAAGAGAGGCTGAGTGAAATAATATACATAGTTATTTAAAAGTTGTCTAACGGTAGATGCATTGCCATACCTTCCACTATTCCTATAGAAATAGACCAGAGCAAATATAAATATCAATTAGTATATTTATATAAGCAAAAAACTGAATAGTATTGTAAAAACATTTGCTTCAAACTCTTTAAGAATGTACAACAACCACACATTTACGAAAACTTAATAAATGTTGCAATTTTGCAATAAAAGTTCAGGGATACTCCCATTCCCTTAAGAGAGCTATATTTCTTTTTCAGCCTGCAAAGTACATGAATTTGTTATCTGCAGATGTGTCTTGTGGACTTCTTGTTTTGTTTTGGGGAGAGGAGGTTGTTGTTTTGAACAGATATTAAGGGAGGAAGCTGCCTCCAGAAGGTAGAGACAAGCAAATGAATGAATATAGGCTAAAGAAGACATCTGTATTGCTTCCAAGACCTAAGCTAGTATTTCACTGAGTGCTGTATTGGCTTACAAGCCTGCTCACAGCTAGCGCTGAAATCTCTAATGGAGACTGCACCGACTGGATGATGCAGACATCCCTGGAGCCATTTAGGTAATCTGCATATGGTGTAGATTGACTAGCTGAGTTGGAAGCAGCCTGAGAGATCTGCCTGTCCATCCGTTCTTACAGATGCATCTTGGATTCATCAGATGCAAATAACTTGCTTGGTATCCTGATGTATGCACACTTCAGCCTATTTATTCATCCATGTTGTTTTGCAACAGCCAAGTGGGAGATATCCTACTGCAGTTTGTCTTGTTCTGCCTTGTGAAAGGCTGGAATTCCTTTTCCCACTTTTATACTGCCCTTCTTGAGTTTACAAAGTTAAAACTGTATTCATTAACTTCATGTCCTAACCATAAGGGCTGGGAGATAGAAGTGCTTATTACAAGGAAGTTAAGCTGTGTTTGTGGACCTTCACTAAAGTCTCCAGAAGCTTCTGTTCTAAAACTATGATTTGGCACTTTAAAAGATTTTATATTTGTCTAATTTGTCACAGTTGACATTAAGCAAGCATTGTGAGGACATACCTGAAAGTGCACCTGTGCAGTGCCCTACAAAAGTTTGTCATTCTAGCTTGATATGCAGAGGCAGTGGGAAATTAAATTTCTCTTATTGGGGGTACAATAGAGTGCCTTTCCTTAGACTGAATGCAGTATTTCAAAGGACCTGGAATTAGACCTGTCAGGTCTTGAGGAGTCAAGTGTGACAGCACTGATCCTCTTCCAACGAAAAGTCTCTGAGTGAACTTCAGTTTCTTGACAGTGCCTCTCCATGAAACAAAACCCCTTTACTTGCAGCATTGTACAGTTCCATATGAAACAATCTAGATCAACAGTAAAAAAGTGATCTGTCTACCCAGCTGGAGTTTCAAGGAGCTCCCAAGAAACCTTCTCTCTGTCACATCCAGTTTTCACACACTGGGCATTTTTTTCTGCTTATTAGCCTTATTTCTGCAATTGGCTTTTGTCACTTTACTAATTTCTTTGGAAGCGGCTCATTTTGAGTGCCTTCTTGACTCCAGTGAGAGTGTTACGTTGCAGTACTACTTAGTGTCCACCTTCTTCTGGAGACTTCATCTTATCAGAACTCAGATGTCAGCAAGTATCTCTTCAAGCTCAAGCAAAGAAAAGTAACATGTGGGCACTGTAAGGCTTTTATAAACAAAGCAAGCTTGGATTTTCCTCTCTTACATCAGCTGACAAGGATCCATGTGGAACAAATTTCTTATTTCTGGGTTATGAGGTGTGTTGTGGGAAGCAAGGATGTTCCAGGACAGAAAAGGTTGTGGCAAAGAACAGCTTTACCCTCTGCAGTTTTCCATTTACATGGATTTTTTATAAGTTTCATTATGAATTTTTGTGGCATTAGAGTTGTTTCTCCTGTTTTGTAATTTATATTGCAGCTGAATAGCACAGAAATAGGAGCCACAACCACCTTATGAATGACCATTTCTGATGTGTACTCAGTGGTGTGTGGTCAGAGCAGAGGAGTGGAGAAAGTCTTCCTGAAGTTGTTCCAGCTGCCTTGGCAGAACATCAGACTAATATCATACTCAGTATTTTTTTTGACCTTAGCTTTTCTTGACACCTCAACTCTCACTTTCCTCCCTTCTGTTCCCAGCTTGCTTAAGTCTTTGAGCTCCAGAAACTTTCTTCTTAGATACGTGAGCTAGGACTTTTTACTACTTGTTGCAATTTTATCACTTAGTAGAAATTTGCGCAAAGTGCCATCAGCTTGCCTTTTTTTTTTTTTCAGCTGCTACTAGAGTGCAAAGATGCCTCGTTATGTGTGCTGTAATTTGTATATGATCCTGAGAGCCCTTCAGTAGGCCGTGTCTCTGCAAGTCCTCAACATTTTATATTAGGTTGCACTCTGTTTCTCCTTTTTAACTTGTCTTTTGTCCTCAGCCTCAATTATTAGTTTAATTTTCACATCAGTAATCCCAGAACCTTTTTTACTGTGGTCTTCACTTCTTCCATCACATAAGCTGTCTTGCTTTAGTCTCTCTGGAAGGTTAGGATGTCTTACTGTCCACTTTTCCTCTCCCTTGCCTCCGTTTTGGATTTTTTCATTGCACTCCCCCTCCTAATCATCATATACTTGATTTCCTTCCAGATTCTGCATGGCAACTGTCATTTTCAGCAGCTGATAAGGATGAGGTCTAGGCTCCTGTACCATACAGAGTTATCACCTTTAATATAATATACTGTCTTATTTCCTCTTCCTTTCCTTCCTTATCGGCTAAATGCAGTCACTATATAACACTTATTTCTGCCAAGGCTAATTTAGACTTTTCACTTCTTTTCCTGATGTTTTACCATACTTTAGAGCAGATTTTGCTTAAACATATGCTGCTATTTGACAGAATAGTGTCACATGTGATGGATTGCCAGGTCAAGTGTGAAAGCTGGACCACTTAGAGCCCTGTTCCTTCTACCAATCTGCATATTTCTATGCTAACTGGTGAAAGTCCACATCCTCAAGCTGCATCAGGGTTCACTTGCAGAATTACTGGAAACCAGAATGATGCCTTTCTTTGCTGTACATGCTGAGACTTTCTGAGATTAGACAATTTAGTGAATAATTATTTAAAACTCACATGTCAAGAAC